ATTACGGATTGCAAAAAGGATTTAGGAGTTCTGGTTAGCAGTAATCTAAAACCAAGACAGCGGTGCATTAGTGTTCGCAATAAAGCTAACAGAATCCTTGGCTTCATAGCAAGAAGAATAAATAATAGAAGTCCTCACGTTGCTCTTCAGCTCTATATATATCATTCAGCTTATGCTGCACAGTTCTGGTCACCATATTACAGAATGGATATAAATGCAGTGGAAAACGTACAAAGGAGGATGACAAAGTTGATCCCATGTATCAGAAATCTTCCCTATGAGGATAGACTGAGGGCCCTGAATCTGCACTCTCTAGAAAGGCGTAGAATTAGGGGGGATATGATTGAGGTGTATAAATGGAAAATAGGAATTAATAAAGGGGATGTAAATAGCGTGCTAAAAATATCTAACAGACAGGACTCCCAGCAATGGCTTTAAATTGGAAAAATTCAGATTCAGGAAGGATATAGGAAAGCACTAGTTTGCTAATCGAGTTGTGGATGAATGGAACAAGCTCCCGAGTACCGCCATAGACGCTAAGACGTTGTGTAGTTTTAAAAATAGGTTGGATAAATACATGAGTGGGTGTGGGTGGGTGTGAGTTGGACCTGACTAGCTTGTGCTACTAGGTCGGATGCAGTGCTCCCCCCTTAGTGACGTGTCTGACCTCGCTAGGTCAAGGCATTGGCTTAAGCCAGTGGGAGAATTGGAGCTGCCTCGCATAGACCAGTAGGCCTGTTGTAGTGTTCCTTCTTATGTTCTTATGAGGGCAAATATTCTATTAGTGGGATGGATTTGTGAAGGACCTGCCTATATGGTCCAACAGGCCTGCTGCAGTGTTCCTCCTTTCTTATGTTCAATACACAAATAACTCGCACATAGAAGAGAGGAGTTTACGACGACGTTTCGGTCCGGCTTGGACCATTTACAAAGTCACACTAACGAGAAGTAGAGCAGGACGGGTATATATAGGCAGGAAGAGGTAGTGGTAGCAGTAGTAGTAGTGGCGGAGATGGAAGTAGTAATGGGGAAATAAGGAGAAGGAGCCAGTCAAATACAAAGAAAGGGGAGCACTGCAAGGGAGCTAGGTGCCCACAGAGGGAGAGCAAGAACACAGAGGTGAGGGGAAGGGGAAATAATGAAATAAATAATGAAGGAACAGAAACACAAGACAGAAGAAAGACAACCCAGAAGAGAAAAAAAGAAAGAGGAAAGGGAAAGAGGGAGAAAAGAAAAAAGGAGGAATCAGGTTAAGTCACGGGTGTTCTAAAGTTTGAAGCATTTTATAATGTAGTGGGAGAGGAAGGCATCTACAGAGACGAAGCCAGGACTAAGATTCATACAAGGAAAGTTGTGTATTAGGGAGGATTCAACCAGACGGCGACTGTTAAAGTTGGAAGTAAGGAAGACAGTTTTAGGAAGACCAGTCAATAGGATGGCTGTGATCTCTGACGTGACAGAAAAGAGCATTGTTAGTGTCGGCAAGCCTAACACTATTTTTGTGCTCCTTAAGTCTGTCAGAAAGAGATCGGCTAGTTTCTCCAAAGTATTGAAGAGGACAGGAGGAGCAAGAAATAGAGTAGGCACCAGGAACATCTGTAGAGGGAAGAGGTATGAAGGAGATTAGTGCGAAGAGTGTTAGTCTGGCGGAAAGTAAGTTTGATGTCTAAGGAACGGAGAGAATTGTTGAGATTAGAAAGACCGGAAATGTAGGGAATGCAGAGGACAGAAAAGTTCCCATGAGTAGAGAGTTTGGGAGAGAAGAAATTACGTTTAGCACGTGAGAGGGCAGAGTCTATGAAATGGGAAGGGTAGCCAAGACGGGAAAACGAATTATGAAGAGTGGAAATTTCTGCTGGAAGGAACTGAGGATCACAGATGCGGAGGGCACAGAGAAAGAGGGAGATAAGAACACTTTTCTTGACAGGGGAAGCATGATAGGAAAAGTAGTGAATGTACATGCCACTGTGCATAGGTTTGCGGTAAACGGAAACGGTAAAACCTATATTTGAGCGGTGGGCATGGACATCAAGGAAATTAAGCAAGGAATTAGATTCTCATTCAGCTTTAAACTTAATGGAAGGGGAAAGATTATTAAGAGCTTCAATAAAAGGTTGGAAGAGACTGGAGTCATGAGGCCACAGAGCAAAGACGTCATCCACATAGCGGAGCCAGAGTGAAGGTCGCACATTGATGGTAGGAAGAAGAACAGTCTCGAAGTATTCCATGTAAAGATTAGCAAGGACAGGAGAGAGAGGAGAGACCATAGCGACACCGAAGGTTTGAGAATAATATTTCCCTTGGAAGGAAAAGGAATTAGAGTCCACACAGAGGCGGATAAGATCAAGAAAGACATCAGTGGGGATAGGGAGATGAAGAAATCCTTCATTGGCCTTCTCTCTAAGAAAATCAAGGACATCATCAAGAGGGACATTGGTGAAGAGGGACTCAACGTCAAGATTAAGCATCTTACAGGTCGGGAGAGAGCGAACCCGTTCAATGAAGTCTTGAGAGTGACGGAGGTGAGCAGGAGAAAAAGTACCAAGAAAGGGAGTGAGGGTTTTGGCCAGACAAGAAGCAAGAGAATAAGAGACAGAACCTCTAGAGGATATGATAAGGCCATAGAAATAGGGAAGAGAGGGACAAATGACACAAAACCTGTGAACAAGGTCAAAGTCAGGAGGACAGAGGTCAGAGAGAGTCCTTAGTTTCTTGTTGAAAGTTCTCTTGATGCGATCAAGAGGGTTGGAAACGAGAGGAGTGTAGGTACGTGAGTCAGAGAGCAAGACATCAGCTTTACGGAGGTAATCCTCGCGATCAAGGATAACTACCGAATTACCTTTGTCAGAAGATAGTATGACAATGTTAGTGTTAGATTTAAGAGAAGAAAGGGCAAGTTGATAACGGCGCGGAAGGTGGTGATTCTTGGAAAACAGACTAACAAGAGCAGGAAGGAGAGCGCCACGAAAAGTGGACAAGTCAGGAAGATTACGGGAGTGAAACTGACGAAAAGAATCAAAAGAGCTAATCAGGGCAATACCAGTCACGGTATTGTGCCTTTTTTTGTTATTTCTTATGTTCAAACTAGATAAAAAAAACCTGGAAAAAAAGACTTAGTGCTTATTTCCCCTGAAGTGAAATATATAAGATGGACAACGACTAAGCCAGTATTTCCCTGCTACAGCATAAGTTCAGTGTTTGTAACAAAAGGTAAAAAATAGTGCAGCAAACGGAGGGGGGGGGGGAGATATTAACAGAGCTTAAAATAGGAAAGACGCAACTGATGCATCTATAACACGAAATAATCAAATATATATATATATATATATATATATATATATATTATATATATATATATATATATATATATAAAAATGTCGCGCCGAATAGGCAGAACTTGCGATCTTGGCTTAAACAGCAACGTTCATCTTGCCATATAGGACAAGTGAAAATTTGTGTATGCAATAATTTCCCCAAAATCATTCTGAATCCAACGAAAAAAATATATTTCACTGTGTTTGTTTAGTATTAAATTATTGTAAACAAATCTAAAGTATATTTAGTTGGATTATGCTAAAATAAATTGTTCTAGTTATAATAAGGTTAGGTAAGTTTTCTAAGGTTCTTTTGGTGCAAAATTATAAATTTTTACATTAACATTAATGAAAAAAATATATCTTCAAACGTATAAGAGAAAATTTTAGAAAGGACTTAAATTTAAATGAGTTCTTGCTAATTGACCAGTTTTACATATTCGGCACGACATATATATATATATATATATATATATATATATATATATTATATATATATATATATATATATATATATATATATATATATATATACACGAAGCATAAGTTTTTCTTTTTTCTTTTTTTTCTTGTTTTGACCTGGAGAGGCGAACTGATCGTGCAGCGCCACTCATCCTGTGGCGCAATACATTACACCCCAAATAATTGACACGCAGCCGGATATATCAACTCCCATTACTTTATAAATCACTACAGTTATCATTGTAACTACAGCAGATTTTACTAAGAATTAAAACAATAGAGAAGAGAGATAAATAAGACGAGAAAAAACTAAATTTATCCGTTACCAGTATGTACGTGGTGAGGTGTTGGGCGAGGTGGCCAAAGACTTGGGAAAATATTTTGAGAAATTTTCCAATGATGAAGCTATTGATTTTTTTCTTTTTGCACAGGGCAAGAGTAGGTATAGTGAGTATAAAGAGAGTGAGTGATACAGTAAGTTGAAAGTGAGGAAAGCAGCCGGGATGTGTGAGATTATGCTTGAAATGCTTTAGGCATTTGTAAAGGTTAATAAACTTGTTTATTAACCATTGAATTGGTTAATGCATTTCTTTTAACCATTCGAATGGTTAATACATTTGTTATGTTGATGATTAATACAATTCTTAATGTTAAATACATTTCTTAATATTTAATACACTGGTTAATACATAACTGAATACTTAATTGAAAGAGAACGAGACAGATGTAGAAATTCTATGGGAATTTAGCTGTAGAGTTGACCAGGAAACATTTATGTCAGAAATTACTATAAGAAAAAAAAATAATGGGAAGGACAGAACGGGACAGCAAAGGAAGCCATAGAAATTGAAATTCAAGTGTTTAGATTAAAGGAAATAAACTGTGGTAGTATATGGGGAAAAAGAGAAAGGTAGGGGTGTAAAAAAGAAGAGCCGTTTGTTCTGTTAATGGATTTTTAGAGTAGCAGCGAGACTAGTGAGGCAAGAGGACGAAGCTCACTTCAGGGTGTGGAGGAAGGAGTTGGAACGCTTACTCATAAAACTAAGCTGGATACGATGCTGTGTAATACGACACACACCAAAACACACACACACACACACACACACACACACACACACACACACACACACACACACACACACACACACAAGAGGTCAACCATTATCTTGTCACGTATAAAGTAACCAGGAGACAAGTTTAGATTTCTTTCGTGATTCGAGAACATTATACAGGATTCATTAGTGTTCCTTTTATATTCATGTTTCTTATCCGCACAAGAACACATTCTTTACTTTGGTCAACATGATGCTGTTTTCTTTCTCGCTGGTCAAAAGGTAAGTGAAAGCTGAAAAATCACCCAGTCTTAAGAGAGTGGGTGACAGCACTGTTAGGTCACAACATTGTCCAGTGACGACCCTGTTAGATCACATCAAGTGACAGCCCTTTTTGATCCCATTGTCAAGTGACAGCCCTGTTAGATCACATTGTCAAGTGACACAGCCCTGTTCACATTGTCAAGTGACAGCCCTGTTAGATCACAGCATTGTCCAATGACGACCCTGTCAGATCACAACATTGTCCAGTGACGGCCTTGTTAGATCACAGCATTGTCCAGTGACGACCCTGATAGATGACAACATTGTCAAGTCACAAATCAATGAAAAAGTAAAAGTAAGAAAACAAGGAAAATAAAGAAAATAGAGAAAGAAAACTACGAAGAGACAAGAAAAGCAGAGAGAGAGAGAGAGAGAGAGAGAGAGAGAGAGAGAGAGAGAGAGGATTTGCACCTGAGAAAACGCAAATGATAATGGTCTCTAGGCATCATGATGGTAATGCTGGTGCAGTAGTAAGGATGAATGGGAGGGTGTTGGCACCTGGAGAAGTTGACATCTTTGGGGAGAAATCTGACTCCAAACTGACCATGAAGAACCATGTTGTAAATCTTGCAAACAAGGCAGCCAGGAAGCTTACAGCACTTCGCCGTATCTCGCATCTGCTTGACAGTAGGGGTTGCAAGATCCTATACGAGGCACAAGTACGTTCACACCTTGAGTATGCTCCACTTTCTTGGTTTGCCTGCCCCCTCTCATCTGCGACTGCTTGACAGAGTAGAGAACAGAGCAAGACGTCTCATCTCTCGCCTGGACCCATCCTGGATAGATCTGTCATTTCAGCAGAGCCTTCAACATAGGAGGGATGTGGGTGGCCTTACTGTTATGTACAAGGCCAATATTGTCAAAATACCACACTTGGATCCACTTCGAGGACAGCGTGAAACAAGCTTTTATGCTACAAGACGGGCAGAAAGCAGCAACTTCACTCTGGCTGTACCCTTCTCCAGAACATCACTCCATCTGAGATCATACATACCCAGGATGACTAGAGTATGGAACACATTCGTACAGCATAATGATGTCAACGAGATAAAGTCAGTTGTTCAAATGAAAATGCTGGCCCACAGATGGCTCCAACTTCATCCTGTTCCCTACTTGTATGTCTCATAACAATAAAAATGCTTTCAAATGAGTTGATGTAGGTAACAGCTCTTAGCTTGCCAATAAAGTTAGGAATCCTTAACCTGTAAATAGCTTGTTAATAAAGCTAGGGATCCTTAACCTCGTCAAACCCTGTGTAAGAGAGAGAGAGAGAGAGAGAGAGAGAGAGAGAGAGAGAGAGAGAGAGAGAGAGAGAGAGAGAGAGAGAGAGAGAATGTTGGCGTGTGTTCAGCATGCCACATCATCTTGATCATCCAAATCAAACTGTACACTTTTACCACTGTCTGTCTGTCTGTCTGTCTGTATGTCTGTCTGTCTCTCTCTCTCTCTCTCGCCTATTTCATCCTATTCACCTTTCTGCTTCTATTGTAGTTATTGCTCTAAATTTCCTCCATTAGACTCTAGCCAGCTTCTCACCCGGCCATTCAATTTATTTTAGTGTTGCAGTGTCGCTCTCTTGACATTGCGCCAAGTCAGAAAAAGTGTCAGTCTTAGACCACACAACTATTATTTCCTTTGTATTATGCAAAAAAGAAATATATTTTTTTCTCAGTTTCGTCTATACCTTCCATCTATTTCTAATTTTTATTTGCAAACTTTCGTTTATTTTTACAGTACAGTATCATTTATTATTATTTTTTCAATTCATGAACGTTGCCATGTTCTTAATCTTTGTTATTATTACCATTATTATCATTAATACAATTCTGTCCAAAACATTTATGTATAAAAATGAGATTTCAAAGTCCAGTCATTCGTGTGTTGAGAACCACAGAAGAGAACTGAGAACTCAAGAGGATACACTACACAAAACCAGGATCCCCCAGTTAGAATTCACAATGGATTAGTAGAACCAAGAACACATTTCAACCCAGCATGAAATAGCACCCAGCCAGTAACCGAACCAAGCTTACATTAAAACCTACAGAACAGGAACCATCGGGAACTGGGGCAACCATGAAAGAGAACTCATATATATATAATATATATATATATAAAAATATATAATAAATATATATATATATATATATATATATATATATATATATATATATATATATATATATATATATTGAGAGAGAGAGAGGAGAGAGAGAGAGAGGAGAGAGAGAGAGAGAGAGAGAGATAGAAAGTAACCACACAGAAGACCTACCTGAAGGTGTCTGGGCGGACGGGGACCAGACCCTTGTTGGAGATGTTGAGCTGAGGCAAGGCCATAGCCTCCCCGTTGTCGTACTCAACATGAGCCATGTACTGCATCTGGGGGGGGACACAGAAGACACATTAGTGTGTGCTACAGCAGCACAGAGAGGTGTGGTTGCTAGGGTACAGTTACGCATGTGGGGCTAATTAAGAAGGGAGGAACAGAAAATACTGAAGGCGAGCTACAAAATAATGGAGGAGAAATGGTGAGAAGTGAAAGCTTGAAACTGATATAAAAATGTGTGTGTGTGTTTGTATGTGTGTGTGTGTGTGTGTGTGTGTGTGTGTGTGTGTGTGTGTGTGTGTGTGTGTGTGTGTGTGTGTGTGTGTGTGTGTGTGTTTTGTGCGCGCGTGTGCGTATGCATGTGTTCTCTGTTCCATCATGCCCTAGTAGGCCTACTGCAACACTTCTTGCTTATTATGGTTTAGATGCGAGCTGCTGTTCTTATATATGCTGCCTTTACTGCCTATGAACATATTGCCGAATAGGATTCCAGATGGAGATCAAATTAAATATACAGACTTAATTTCCAGTTTTGCCTTCTTGCCCACAACTGAGATATGTTTCAAAATTGGCAAGTGTCTACCATTATCCTTTATATGCTTTTTGTTAATAATAATAATAATAATATTATATATATATATTATATATAATATATATATATATATATATATATATATATATATATATATATATATATATATATATTCGTAACTCAGGCCATTACAAAGACCATGACATCAGGCTAACACTCAGGTACCTATTTACTGCTAGGTGACTAGAGGTAACAGGTGTAAGAATAATTTTAAGTAAATAAACCTTATTTAAATGCTTCCTGAGTTTAACATACTAATTTATGAGTCAGGTTTACATTTGTCTGTAATTTCAAGCGGAAATTGCTTAGTGTTTTCCGTGTGGTGTAATTTATGACCTTATATATTATGAAATGGGCTCTCTGCCTGCTGTTAAAGTCATGCCGGCGTCTGAAAGTAATATTGGGGGGAAACGCTAAACCTGTAGGGGTCATACAGCGTCGGGGGAATGGGAGGTAATCAGTTTTAATCCAAGGATTTGCTGGGTAGCTAATATTCCTTGGATTAACAGCCATTCACCAACAGTGCTCTAAAGCTGAATATATATTTTTTTTCATTATGTCCAGCTTCTCATATTATATATATATATATATATATATATATAATATATATATATATTTATATATATATATATATATATATTTATATATATGATGACGTTACACTCGTGTAGCCAGATATAATCCCCTTTAGATATGACCTCAGTGATAGTAATTAATTTAGCTCAACTGGGATTATTTTAACAAAAAATAAGTATAAAAATTAGTGATTGACTACATTTTCTACTGTTGTTGATTTGTACCACTTAAAAAGCATTAAAAATTTTTTTTATTAACAGCATGAATAGTTTTCTGATATCTTAACAATTTGCTGCCGTCATTATCAGTTATATGCCACTGTGGCTGTATAACCGTTAAGGTAAGTTAATCATCATTAAAAGGAAATCAGAATAATTTAAAATCTATCATTCGCAATCCTCAAACCATAGCCATAATTCCTTCGAACTCACAGGCCTTAAGTCAGCATAATTTTATACGAAAGGGTAAATATCTCCACTGTTTATGCTGACTAAAGAGATGCTGAGTTCTTAGTCAGGCAGCTACCCTGTGGGAAGAGTAGCGTAACACCCGGAGAGCGGGGTCACACCCCTGGCCACAAACTCTCACACATAACCACGTCGTCAAAGTGACCCATTTTGCAGAGAAGAGGGTTTTAAAATGTCTTAAAAGGGAGCATGAAACGATAGATCTGCTTACTTTGATGTGTTAACTGGCCAGACTAAGGTCTCACGCTATTATATATTTTTATCATCAGGACCTTGTGATGGGGGAAGCTTTGTGCCCCTGAAAACGTACCACCCCGAAAAAAAAACACAGGAGAAAAAGAATCATATCAGTAGTATACAAGACGACGAGCAGATCACATGTGGAACACATGGGTTATCTTCATTGAGGAGACGTTTCGCCAACCCCTGGCTTTATCAATCCAGTAAAGAGAACAGACAATGGATTGAAGACGTTTCACCATCTACTGGCTTTATCAATCCAGTATAGAGAATAAACGGTGCCTTGATGAAAAAATGGCTTGATAGAGCCACTGGTGGGCGAAACGTCTCCACATTAAAAATACCCAACAGTTGCACATAAGTCTTATTCAGCTACATGAAAGATAATTCCACCTGCAACTTTATCAGACTATATCAAATTAATCCTTTCAGATTAACATACGTATCCACTTCAAGGCTCCAGCGAGCTTACAACAACTGATTTCATAGACCTAATGTAAATATACGACCTGTAGTCAGCAATTACCATGGACCTGCCTTACTAATAATAAAGTTATTTACTGTAAACACAGGATTCTAATGGAATCCGATACGAAGGCAGCCCATTAATTTATTGATACTAATATCGATAGAACATTACGTGTAAACACGAACGCGTATGTTGTACTTACCTATTCGATATTATACACGTATGTGTGTATTGATTCCTGTTCCACTTGCTTCTCCCTCGTAGCACTCAACATGTATGACCAACACAGTTCTACACCCTTACCAGCACCAGCACCGGCCCTGAATGAATATTATTTAGGGACCCTCCGACCTCACTGGCATCACGGACCCGTCCCCTGAGGATTGGGACCTGAACCAGCAGCACAATCCATACGTACTCTCCATTCAGGGCACTGGATGAACGAGCAACACTAGCATTGTTGATGCCCCCCGCGGCTTACAATACGTTGCATATACACCCACACTGCTGTCAGCTGTGTATTAAGTTGCTCACTGTCAGCATTACGGGTGAGCTTTCATCAGATTTGCCAACATAACAACCCAACATAGAGAATGTATTCTTCCTCACGCAAAACACTTAATCTAGCTTAACTCCGCCATTTCATTCCGCCAGACACCTGACTTAATTTAGCCAACAAAACAAATGCTTTTCAGCCAGAGAGCGCAAGCACTATTCAAAATAATCAACTCATCAACTACGTTTGGGTCGATATATCGCGTGTAATCAGCCGAAAAAAAACACACTTAACCTCCTTATCACCAAAATGTCAAGTACAGTTTATAAACACTAATATGCTCTCTGTGTTACACGGAAACAGCGTACATTATAGACAACGTTTCGCCTAGAACCGAGCGAAGCGTTTCTTTACACACACTTGTCTGCTTACAACAAATCCCCAGCACTCACATCGCCATAAAATGCCCACAGTTTTACAGTATCAAGCTAATAAAGGCACGTTCTTAGTAATTTATACACACAGCCGCACAGTACTAAGAGGGGTGACCAACAACTCAACATCTAAAAGCTGCCAAAAACAGTTGAAGCAAACTAGAAATGCGAAAAAAATAAGACTAGTATTTGCTAGACTCTCCTCCAGGTATATTGATCCGTCCGTTGCTGCTAGAACGAAACTATGTCCTATTTATAACTGGAAATGATAAACGAGGTTTGGTCATGTCTACGTTTGGGTGGGGTGGGGAAGATAGGGTAGCTGGTGGTGGTTATTGGTGGGGGAGGATGAGGTTGGTAGGGGTGTATAGAGGTTGTTGTAGTGGTGAGAGTGGTGGCGGTGGGTGTTGGTGATGGGTGGTGGTGACGGGTGGTGGTGACGGGTGATGAGTGGTGGTGGCGATGGGTAGTGGTGGTGGGTGGTGATGGGTGGTGGTAGTGGTGGGTGGTGGTGGTGATGGGTTGTGGTGATGGGTGGTGGTGAGTGCTGCTAGATGGTGGTAATGGGTGGAGGTGGTGATGGGTGATGAATGGTGGTGGTGATGATGAGTGGTTAGAGGCTGTTATGGTGGTAAGAATGGTAGGTGATGGTGATGGGTGGTGGTGGTAGTGGTGGGTGGTGGTGGTGATGGGTGGTGGTGATGGGTGGTGGTGAGTGCTGCTAGATGGTGGTAATGGGTGGAGGTGGTGATGGGTGATGAATGGTGGTGGTGATGATGAGTGGTTAGAGGCTGTTATGGTGGTAAGAATGGTAGGTGATGGTGATGGGTGGTGGTAGTGGCTGGACAGAGTTAGTTGTGGTGGTAAAAGTGGTGGGTGGTTGTAGAATTTGGTGGTGGTGGTGGATGGGGATGGGTGGTGGTGGTGGATGGGGATGGGTGGTGGTAGTGGTGGGTGGTGGCTATAGGTGGGTGATGAGTGATGGTGAGTGCTGATGGATGGTGGTGATGGGTGGTGGTGATGATCAGTGCATAGAGGTTGTTGTGGTGGTAAAATTATTGGGTGAGGGTGATGGGTGGATAGAGTTTGCTGTGGTGGTAGAATTTGGTGGTGGTGGTGTTGATGGGTGGTGGATGGGGATGGGTGGTGGTGATGGGCGGTGGATTGGGATGGGTGGTGGAGATGAGTGGTGGTGGTGATGGGTGGTGGTGAGTGCTGATGGATAGTGGTGATGGGTGGTGGTGGTGGTGGTGGGTGGTGGTAGAATTTGGTGGTGGTGGTGATGGGTGGGGGATGGGGATGGGTGGTGATGGATAGTGGTGATGATTGGTGGTGATAGATGGTGGGTGATGGGTGGTGGTGAGTGCTGATGGATGGTGATGGGTGGTGGGTGGTAGTGATGGGGGTGGTGGTGGTGGTGGGTGGTAGTGATAGGTGGTGATTGGTAGTGATGATGGGTGGTGGTGATAGGTGGTTGGTGATGGGTGGTGGTGAATGCTGATGGACGGCGGTGATGGGTGGTGGTAGTGGGTGGATAGAGTTTCTTGTGGTGGTAAGAGTGGTGAGTGGTGGTTGAATTTGGTGGTGGTGAATGTTGGTGGGGATGGATGGCGGTAGTGGTGGGTGGTGGCTATAGGTGGTGGGTGATGGGTGGTGGTGATGGGTGGTGATGGGTGGACAGAGGTTGTTGCTGTGGCAAGAGTGGTGGGTGATGGTGATGGGTGGTGGATGGGGATGAGTGGTGGTGGTGATTTGTGGTGGATTGGGATGGGTGGTGGT